TTGAAGGAACCTCTTGACTAGTTAAAATTTGATCTCGTATATGATTGAAATCGGAATTCATTCCACGAAGAATCAACACCATATATAAGTTATGGAGTTTTGCTTGTATACCTGCAACAATATCAACTTCCAAAAATATTTGAAGTTCCTCTATTGCAGATTGGGCTTTAGTAACATACGAAATCATATCATGATCCAATTGTTCAAGACTCGTCAATCTTTGCACATAATCATACAATCGTTGAATATCATTAGCAAATACATTTTGGGCCTTTTTCTAGAATGAATAACAAGTTTTAAAGGCCCTGAAATTTGCTAAGATATTTGACTCCACAAATTGCCATAATAAAACACAAAGCTGAAAATCAAGTTTCTCCCAGAGTTTTTTTTCTAAATGGTCATAATGCCCTTGACCAAGAAACCATAACTCAATCGAAGAAAACCGTGCCAAATAATTTTTTTCATTAAGTTTTTCACCAGAAATAGCAAATGATGTAGCTATATTACCACTAGAATCTTTTGAGTCTTTTGCAGCCATCTCAAGTCTTTAATAAAATAAATACAAAAAGGAGAAATAATGGTTTGATAGAACCTAGAAAGAGAACCAAGACGATATATCCCAATTAACTGGGATAGCTGGCCAACGAAACAGAACCAGGAGGGGACGGCGAGTCGAATGACGTCGGCGGTGGGTGATTTGGAGCGGCGCGTGTGATGTACATCTACCAACTAACCACATAATTATAATAATCTTCTACCTAACAACAACTTAATAAATAAATATATAACTTCCAACACTTTTTTTTTCTTTTTTAAGTTTTGCAGTTTCTTTGCAAGTAATTTATTTTTTGGTTAATATTCGTTTGAAATGTTAATTATTTCTCACGAATAGCAAATAAATGGGAAAATGTATCAACACTTATAGAATTCAGTTGATTTGATTAATTTATGTTTTTTGTTTAGTATATGTTTTCTATTGGAATTTGAATGATCATATTTGTAGGATTATTAATGCAATCATTTAAATTTCAGAAATAATTATTTTAATATTGTGTAATTTATTATTTTAAAACTATTTAATTATTATGTATTTAAATTTTCTTCATTCTTGCAATGTCACCCCGTGGGGAAAATTACATTTTTCGTCCTTATACTTTACCCACTTTTTTCAAAACTGTCCCTAAACATTTTGGAGTTACAATAGTAGTCCTTAATCATGCCATTTTTTGACAGAATTGGTCCGCCGTTAAATTTTGCCGTTAAGTTGGATGGAAAATGGCATGTGCCTCTCACATGCCTTCAATTTACAACACTACATGAAAATGGACTTTCAACAACACGCATTGCGTCTTGTTAAAACATATTTTTCATAATTAAAACTTGATTGAAATTCGAAATTATATAACTTCCAAAAAAGCAAAATCGATATATATTGTTTTAAAATATTTTGAGAAATAATATTTAACCAATTGAAACATTGTTTTAAAAAATGAAATATTGCTTTCAAAATCAAGATTTTCGGAATTCAAATGAAAACATTGTTTCAAAATAAAATAAAAATTCGATCCGAATAGGTGGGATAAGAAACCTCCATTTCAATCTTCACCCTAATTTAATAATGTAAAACTCGATAAATTATTTCAAAATATTTTTAGAAGTATTGTCTAAAATAATAATATAATGTTTTAAAACCGGAATTTCTTGAATCCAAATGAAAATTATTGTTTTAAATAAAATAAAAATCTGATCGTAATAGGCGGAGTAAGAAAACTCCGTTCCAAATTTCACCCTTATTTAATAATCTAAAACTCGATATTTTTTTTCAAAATAAATTCAGAAATATTGTTTAAAAAATCATAATATTGTCTAAAGAAATAAGTTAAAATCGGAATTTTTGGAAATTGAATGAAAATATTATTTTAAAATAAAATAAAAATTCGATCAAACTAGGCGGGATAAGAAAACTCCTTTCCAATTTTCACCCATATTGAATGATTTAAAACTCGACATATTGTCTCACAATTGGGATTTTTGGAATTGACTAGAGGTGAAAATTGGAATGGAGATTTCTAATTCCCCAATTCCTATCGGGTTTTTTTTATTTTGGTTAGAAACGATATATTTTAATTGAATTCCCAAAAATGCCGATTTTGGAACAATATTTTGAAATTTTAAACTATATTTTGATTTTTTAAACAATATTTCCGAAATGAGTTGTTTTTTTGGGAATTTACGTGATTTCGTTTTTATATAAATTAATTAAAAATAATAATTATAAAAAATATGTTTTAACAAGACGCAATGGGTGTTGTTGAAAGTCCATTTTCATGTAGTGTTGTAAATTGAAGGCATGTGAGAGGCACATGCCATTTTCTATCCAACTTAACGGCAAAAATTAACGGCGGACCAATTCTGTCAAAAAATGGCATGATTAAGGACTACTATTGTAACTCCAAAATGTTTAGGGACAGTTTTGAAAAAGTGAGTAAAGTATGAGGAGGAAAAATGTAATTTTCCCTCACCCCGTGCATCGCACGTAGAGAAAAGTTAGTTACTTGTAATACCACAAAAAAAGGCCTAGAACTTATTTGAAGGTCGGAGGGGTTTCCGCCGTATCAACCCCGGGATAGTTTACGAGAGCTTATCTTCGCATGTCCAAGACCCAGCCGTTCTCAAGTTCCACTTTGACAAGGACTCCGACCAAGATCATATACTCGCGTGCAGTGACATACCCTCGTGTTCCCGTTCAATCTACTCAAGGTGGGTTATACAACATCATTATGGCGCCGTCTGTGAGATTACAACCTAGATCGCGAAGTAGACAAGGTGATCAGGAGAACTGTCTGCCCTCCTTTAAGAAACCCGTTCAACCCCCACCTGCCCTGTCCCGCAACGGGTCTAAAATTTACCATCCCCTCCCGCCCCATTGAAAACCCGCGGTTAACCACCCCGCCAAAAAGCCCTTAAAATCTGAAGAAAAAAAGTAAATAAATAAATAATATGTACAGTAGTTAATACATACTACATATGATTAAAAAATTTACTATCAAATATCAAATCCAAATTAGCTAAGAAATAATCTCAAAATTAATGGTGTTTAATCCTTGTATACGAACGAGATAAATATAAGCGAGATAAGAGAACAAGACAAATTACCGGACCACCGGTGGTCAACGCCGGAGATGGAGAGAACGGCGGCAAGGCTTGGCAGTTGTCAGTTAACGGGGAGACAACTCGCTCGGCCCTACGATCCCGCTGCGAGACAACTCTCACGAGGAGATAACTCGCTCGGCGCTACCATCCCGCTGCGAGACAACTCTCACAAGGAGACAACTCGATCGGTGCTACGACCCTTCTGCGAGACAACTCCCACGAGAGTCGACACTTAAAATACCCCGTTGACACCCAACCTAAGGTCTACACTCAAAACACCCAACCTAGAATTGACACTCACAATACCCCTTTCACCGCGATTGACCGCGTCGCCCCTCACTGCATCACCAATAATACACGACTCCAACCCTAACTCCGCCACCACACACACATGCCTATCAAATGCACATAATAGTTGGATGGCCCTCCAAATTTAAAAAAAAAATGCAAGAAAGGTGTCAAAAGATTTATAAAAAAATCATAAAAAGGGCAACAAACACCATTTGACCCGACGACTACATTAAAAGCATTACAAAAAAAATTTATCGAGAGTGGAGAACTTAATGATATGCCCTATGGGCCAGCCCAATAAGCTAATGAATATTTGGGGCATCTAGAAAGCCTTATATGTCATCCTCAATAAGGGTTTACTAATCCTATTTAGAGTTCTACTCTAATAATGATTCTACTAATCACATTATAAATAAACCCCCTGACTCACTTTACAAGGTATGTTCTATTCTCTTGTTCTGATACCTAGAATAATGATTCTAGGTAATGATTTAAATAATCACATTATTGTTCTACCTATCCACCTCTTGTATCAACACCGGACTTGAGCGTTGGAGGGGTTTTCGCCATATCAACTCTCGATCTAGTTTACGTGTGATCTTTTCGCAGGTTCAAGACCCAGTTGTTCTCAAGTTCTCCATTGGCAAGGACTCGGACCAAGATCACCTGCTCGCGTGAAATAACCTACCCTCGTGTTCCCGTTCAATCTACTCAGGATGAGTGATGCAACATCATTATTATAAAATCACACTACGTAACTTGTTATTTAATTTGGAATACCACTATGTCATTCATAATCCTTAATAATTTAAGATTTATCGAGTTCCGCAAGGGATGGCCTAGTGGTTGGAGCAAGTGAGCTTGTGTTAATTGACCCATGTTCAAATTCCATTGCCAATGGTCACTAGGTCGAGCTTGTCACACATGCAGGGGCGGAACTAGGATGAAAAAATCGGAGGGGCGAGCAAAAATTTCAGGGTTCGGGGCAGCGCCCCAAGAAAAAGTTTAGGATCGCAAGACATTGCAAAAATAAGTTTATATTGCTAATTTTAATTAAAACAATATATATTATAATCTTATCATATTTCAACCATGCAAAAAATAAAATCTAATTAATCCAAATGATTGTAATAATCTATTACACTTAATGTTTTGGTTGAAAAAATTAAGTAAATATTTATAAATTTTACTTAAAAATAGTAAAAATTGTAATCATTTTATCTTATATTGTTAGTATTAAATATGATTTTTGTATATATAATTATATAAGATTATAGAGAAAAAAATATGAAAAAAAAAACAGATTAAAACATATATTTACAAAAACTTTGGGGGGTCAAAATTAATAATCAAAAAGTATAAGTGCAAAATAGCTAGTTGGTTCACCAACCCAGTGGAGTGTCACTCATAAGTCATAACTGTTTGGGAAAACTAAGAGGAGTTACATGGGATATATGTGAAACCCCTTGTGAGCTCGAGTTCAAGTCGAGTCGAGCACAGCTCGTTTTATTTCTCATCTATTTTTTACATCTGGGGATGATTCAAAAAAACAAAAATAATAGGGAAACATTCAATTCTGAATACATTGATAACGAAAACATTGGAACTACAGAATATTTACAAGTAGGCAATTCAAATATTCATTTAAAAATAAATGAATAGTATGTACATTGAATCAAATGAGTACTCCTCTCAACCATTCAATTGTCTAATGTTTACACAAATGTTATAAATACCACACCATAAATTCAGCAATACACAATTTCAACAAATCAAGAATCTTTAGCATACAAAGCTGACCAAGTCCACTCATCATCAGATACCTCAAATTGATTCTGCTCGGGGAAAAAAAAAAAAGAGAAAAAAAATTAGGCTCGGTTTTTACTAGATCGAAAAACGGCATTTCTCAATTAATTAATTAATAAGAACATTTATGTACCTCACACGTAGTCTGATCCTTGTACACCAACACACCTGGATGCACTGATACTATCGCTTCTTAATAAGCACCGTGCACTATAGCACGCTTTCCCACTATTATCCTTTTGCCTAGCTTTTGCAGTTTTGTTAGAATTACTTTCTTGCCCTTTGATGTCCGACGAAGACTTTTTCGGGCTCTGTAGTCGAGGCCGTGGGATAGCAACTCCACGTCGGCTTTTAGAATCACTATTTTTGTCCGGATCCTCATCTATTAGCCCACATACACGTTCCCTACATATATTTTCACACACAATTATTAAAGGTAAATTACATCTATCTCGCCTGAAGTTCGGTTTAATCATAGGTTGACCCTCTCTGGTTTGGAAAATTACGCATACCTCCCCTGAGGTTTGATATCAGCTAGCACTTGAAACTATTTGACCATTGACTTTTTTTGAAATTCATTTTCACCCTAAATTACATTGACCTCTCCTGAGGTTTGGGTCTAATTACATATACCTCCCTTAAAGTTTAATTCTAAATAAACTAAAATTATTTTTTAGATGAAAAATATAAGAAAATTAATTTAGAAAACAGCTCATTTACCTAGGCAAGGAGGCGTAACGCCTTCGCATTGGAGGTCTGTGTTCGTTACCAGGCAAGCCCTCGAGGCAGAAAAATTGCTGCTTAAATTGGTCAACTCCGCTGAAAAACCCCAAAAAAAAATCGTAGAATTCGATTTAGTCACATGTCTTATAACACTGTACTCGCAAATAGGCAAAATCCCAATGGAAGCACGTGTCCAAATTAAAATACGAGAGAAAAAAGACCGACGGCTGTATCCATTTTTAAATTAGTAGGAATGATAAATAATTATAAAATGTCTTTAAAAAAAAGTAATTTATTTTTTTATAAATAAAAACCCGAGTTGTTACGGATTCTTCAATTGCCAGACCTTGGGTACATAAAGTGAATCTGGTCCACGCCACGGAGGTACTCCTGGAGCATCTGTGGATGATACTCCAAGATCTGTTTGCTTTAAGAAAGACGATACCACATAAATAAATAATAATAATAATAATAATAGTAATAATAATAATAATAATAATACTAATTCCAACCATAAAACAGAATAATCATTTTTAACTAACACAGTTAAATAAATAGTGAGTGATGTTCGCACCTCTCTGTAAATCAGCTCCCTAATTTCGTGCTTTGTTAGTGTCTTCCTCTCGAAATCGAACTCGAACTTCGATATATGATGAGTTGAAGGCTCGTCTTCTATATTCGCCAGCCCGTAAAAATACGGATCCGCTAGTGCCTATATAAGCAATATAAATATATCGTCAATAATGAATTTAATTTAAAAACAAAATTGAAAAATAACGGATGTAATTTCGGTTGTACTTGTTCAGCGGATGGACGATCTTTTGGATCGAATGCGATCAAACGCTCGAGTAAACGGAGAGCCTTCGGATCGATATTCGGGAACCTATGTGAGAAAGGTAGGCGTGGCTTTTTTCTCATGCTACTTAAATATCTTCGCGCCTTTTCATTCCGAATCTGGTAATAGCAAAAAATGAATCTGGGTAATTTCGTAATATTTTGAAAAATGCATTTTTTTTATAGGAGCACCGAAGGAAAGGAACAAACCCTAGAAATGGCTTCGGCGGAAGGTGTACCGAGAAGATCGGTGATGAGTTCCAATTGGTCGACGACGTTTTTACCGGGGAATAACGGTTTGCCGGTAATCATTTCTGCAAATATGCATCCTATGCTCCATATATCAATAGCTGGGGTATACTGCAAAAGACAATAAATAAATTAATTAATTAACAATAAATTAATTAATTAATTAATTAAAATGTTTCCGATATTCGATAATTTTCAGTAAATTAAAAAAAATATTCAGGGGAACTTACTCTAGAGAAAAAGGAACCACAAAGTTCAGGCGCGCGATACCACCGCGTAGCAACGTAATCCTTCAGGCAAAAATAAACATTTCATTAATATTACAAAGTCGGTAACTAATAATACGTAGAGGTAAAACACCAATAATCAAGACTAATGTAAATCAAAACATATATTTTTGTTTCTTTCTTTTTTTTCTTCAATATAAATTTTTAGATATTCCAAGGATATATATATTATATATATCCTCGGAAAAATCACCGCGCAAAATCACATACAGTCCAAAAAACAGCAGACGGGGCATCACCGAATGACGCACGAGCAAGCCCGAAATCGCAAATCTTCAGCTTGCAATCTGCATTAGCAAGTATGTTTCTCGGTTTCAAATCCCGATGGAAAACATTCGCTGCAAAAAAAAAAAAAAAAAAAAAAAAAAAAAAAAAATTAGTACATGTCATACGAAACTAAATAAACCCGTAAGTTGTGACAAGATCCAACCTGAATGAATATACTTCAAAGCACGAAGCAACTGATACAAAAAGAATTGATGATGGCCAGGGGTAAGATCGTCATTCGTATTAATCACATGGTGGAGATCCGTCTCCATCAACTCAAACACGACGTATATATCCTTGAATTCTCTGCGACAAGGAGGCAGCATGATATGCTTTATCTTCACAATGTCGGGGTGTGGAAGTAATCGAAGGAGCTTTATCTCTCTAAGAATGCGTGTGGCTTCGGAAACGTGCTCGAAAATATCTTTTATTTTCTTTATAGCCACTTTTTCTCCCGTGTGGGTGTCCACTGCGGAAGCCACGGTACCGTAACTACCCTTGCCTACAACCTCTTGGATTTCGTACAGATTCGATTCGCCGTATTCCGTGAAGAAATCCATGCAAGGCATTTTCTGCCATGCGCCCGAAAAGAAAACAATATTAGCATTTTTTCGATTTAAGAAACTCACAGAAAAGCAAAAATTTCAACCGTCTTTTTTAGAAGCGTAACATTGTAACTAACAAATAGAAATTCGGCTCGACTATCCAAAAACGGGTTATAATGGGACATCTAAAAAACAATAAATCGATTTTTTCTACCGTAAAGCGTGTTAAACCCTATCCCCAGAGAGGAATTCTTACATGGATATATTGTTTCTGTTCAAGAACTTCGAATCATATAATTTGGTCAACGGTATCTAGTATCGGTTTAAATTAGACAAAACCCAAATTCTTTTTCGTAGTTAGTTAGTTAATTCGTTACCCGGGATCGAAATATCAAGATTGCACCATGTCAGAATACAATGAAACAGAATCGAACATCATAAGACAAAAACAAATAATTTAAACATAATCAACTAAAAATGCTGCTTACTTACTTGGATCATTCGCAAAATTATCCGACGAATCGAAGAATATTCCCTCCACAGAGAACAGAGCAAAGCAACCGGACAAAACTTAACTATGAAACCCCAATTCTTACAAGCCCATAAAAAAGCAGCTCAATTAAATAAACCCCACCTTCACACACAAATGAATTGGCACCAAATAAATACACTTAATTTTTTTTAAATGCAAATATATATAAAAAGGTCAAACTTTGCCCTAATTTTGTTTTTTACAGCTGCCCTTTCACAAAAAAAAGAGGTGATCTACTATGGAAGATGAAGAAGGATTCAATCCACACATCACACTTAAAAGATTTCAAGATTTGATCTTTCCCTATTTTCCTGCGGACTTGTGATCTACTGCAGAAATCTGTGGCCATATATATATATAATAATAATAATATATATATACTTACAACAACAGCTGATTTTCAAGAACTTATCTATTTTGTGTGCTTGAAACTGTCGGTGCCTTTAATTTATTCACTCTTGTTTAATTTGTGAAGTAGAATTAAAGGAAGAAAAAAAAAACCCCACAAAAAAAGGGATAGAGAAATTTAAGAGAGAGAGAAAATGGAGAAAAGAAATGGTCGGAAAAAAAGATAGATGTAATGTATTGTACAGTGTAGATAGATACGACCTCCCCCACGTAGGATTTCGTTCAGTCTAAGAAGATAGAGAAATTTTGCATTTAATGGGTAAAAACAGAGCATCGGTATGTGAGCCTTATCTTATCGTCGTGTGGTCGTCACCTTCGCGCAGGGCGCGTGGTGTTACTCGCCGCACGCGTTTGTCCGTAGGGTTGACTTTTTCGACGGTGGGAGACCTTTTTTTGATATAAACTTCAGCTAGTAATGCGGCGGCTGAAACTTTGAATTAGTCGGTAATTAGCAATAATCTTATCCGTAGACCGTACTAATGTGTAATTGTTAATTGTTTGCTTAATTTAATAAAGAAACCAAATGACTTTTCATTTTACAAATGCCCGTTATTAAATTATATGCGATCATCCGATTATTTTCATCGGGTCCGGAAACTAGTAATTCAACAGTACAATGGACGAGAACTAACTTTTAGATCAAAATGAATTAATATAAAAATTCAACACATTAAAAATATCGAGGATGTAAATTGAATACGATCAAATAAAATATAAAAGAATCATATTTTATTTTATTTTATCACTGATGAAGCTAAAATATAGCTCACCTAGGATAGTATAGAAAACGAGCTGGGAGAGCAAAGCTGATCAGTAGCTAGTCAACTCGATGTTCCTGAGGTCCCTACAAAATGAGCACACGTGAACTAAGCCGGGGGTTGATCCGGCGGAAACCCCTCCGACGCTCAAGTCAGATGTACGGATCGTAGAGAGAGTAGAGAGAATAAACTCGAGGTTGATAGTCAAAAAATGAGAACGTACCTTAATCCATGAATAAAACATCTATTTAAATGTTGTTAAATGGGTTGGGCTTCCTTTGTTGGGCCCAAGCCTTACTTTGAAGGAGCTTGGGCTTTCGTGTAATGGGCCCACTTGTATATGATTGGGCTATCATGTAGTGGGCCTAATTAGTAGATAAATTTGAGGACCCGTTGGGCCGGCCCATTTAGGTATATCATTAAGCCCCCCAACTCTCGATTCGAGATGGGGACTTGTGTAGAGGTATCCAGGTCGTGTCGAGAGTTAGTTGCGTCGTCTATTGAATTGTTTCCGTTGGTGAATTAATTCCTTAATTTAAATAAGGGATTATTGCCTTTATTTGGCAGCCAGGTATATATTTAAGGGTTTTAAATAATATACTAGGGCCAGATAAATAGACTCCTTTTGCGGTGGAAAGCGTTAAACTTCAAGTCTTGCGTAATAAATATGGGTATGTATCTTTAACTTTAGGTCTTCTTCTGCTTTCTCTTCTATTATTTTTTAGCGGTAGGGTAGAAATTTTTTGTTGCTTGATTATTTCTTCGGGGAAAAAAAAAATTTCATGTCGAACTCGGGTAATTCGAAATCTTTACGAATTAAACTTCGAGATCCGGTTGAAGGGGGTAAGAAAACTTTTGGTACCGTGGGTATGGAACGCGAGGAGATAGTTGCGTCGGGTGTAGAAATTGGATCTTCGGTAGCTGATTCTCGAATTGAGAAGAAAAAGAGGGTTGTAGCCGGCTTTATGGGTGTTGGCTTGAGCCAAGAAGCCGGCCGGTCCCATGTGAGAGAGGGCGCGCGCTTCGAGGCGGGCTTGGAGCCGAAGGGAGTTGCTGAGCCGCCGACACAGCCACGTGGGCTGGTTTTGTTGGATGACGCGCGCGCGTCGGGCGGACCTAACGAGGAACGTGCGCGCGCGTGGGAGCTGGGTGGAGATGGAGTGACGCGCGCGTCGGGCGCCGGGATCGAGAGACGCGCGCGCGTGCCCATTAATGAGCAGCAGCCTGGCGCGC